TTAGAGAATGGCACCTTTCTGGAGAGTTTTTAAGCCAAACTATTGAAGTCTAGTGCAGCGGTGGGATGCTCCATTCAATTTCCTAGAGGTTTCTGGAGAGGCCTGGTTGATTACTGGTTACATTCCTAATAAATTCTATAGCAACTGTCCATAATGGCTGGAAAGGGGGGGAGGTGGGGACTACAGGTCAGGTGAGATGCAGGCGCTCAGCCACCATTGTGATGAGCCCTAGGGTTACCATATTTCAACAATCAAAAAAGAGGACGGTGGAAGCCCCACCCTAGCCCCGCCCCTGCCCCTCCCATTTCCCGCCCCCGACTGCCCCCCTCAGAACTCCCAACCCCCCCGCTCCTTGTCCCCTGACTGCCCCCTCCTGGGACCCCTGCCCCTAACTGCCCCCCAGGACTCCACCTCCTACCTAAGCCTCCCTGCTCCTTATCCCCTGACTGTCCCCTCCTGAGACCCCCCCATCCTAACTGCCCCCCTAGGACCCTACCCCCTACCTGTCCCCTGACTGCCCAAAACCTTATCCACACCCCCACCCCCAGACAGACCCCCGGGACTCCTGACCCATCCAACCCTCCCCCTGCTCCCTGTCTCTTGACTGCCCCCTCCAGAACCCCCCTGCCCCTTCTCCGACCCCCTGGCCCCCTTACCGTGCCGCTCAGAACAGCGTGTCGGGCTCCACGCTGCCGCGCTCCCCCACAGAGCGCATAGCCCGGTTCCCGCCCTCGCAGAGGGCTGCTGAGCGGCGTGCTGGGCAGTGGGGGGGGGGAGCAGGGGGAGGAGCTCCAGACTGCTGGAGGCCCGATGTGAATGGCCGGCGATCTGCGAATGCGGGGGGGAGGGGGAGAGAGAGGAGGGGAGTGATCTGAAGCTGCAGGGGAGAGGAGGGGGGAAGCGGAGGAGGGGCTCTTGCTGCTGGAGCCCCGTGCGAGTGGCTCGATCCGGCTGGCTGCCCTGTCAGCCGTGCCGCGCTCTGCATGGGGGGGATGTGTGTGTGTGAAATCCGGACATTTACAAATTCCCCCTGGACGCTATTTTTAAACTCAAAAAGCCGGACATGTCCGGGAGAATCCGGACGAATGGTAACGCTATGAGCCCACTAGAGATGTCTGGCTCAGCTGGGAGCTGCCTGTTTCCCAGCACTCGCTCTGCGGGCTGTACCCTTTGCTGCCCCTGCAACCCGGCCTGTTGCTGTGCAGCTCCTGTCCCTGCTTGGCCGCCAGGGACCCTCTGGCTCTGCCTGTGCCACTGCTCCTGCCTCCTTGGCCACTGGGGCTGGGGCTGGGCCAGCACAGTCCTGGCAGGGGACACACCGCACAGGCCACCTGGGCACAAGGCCAGGTCTGCAGCAATGGCACCATCTAGTGGCTCTCGGGAGCACGGCACCAGCATAACCCTGATCCCAAGGACAAGGCCCCAAAGCCGAGCAGGTGGCATGCAGACAGCTATGCACTGGAAGGGGGTCCCCGTGAGGGCTGATCCTGCGCCTCAGCTGACACTGGCTGGCGGGGACAGCTGTTTCCTTGGCGGGGGGAGAGGGGAAGAGCAGGAAGGAACCCAGTGAAGTCCAGCTAGCGGGACCCCCCTGACCCGGAGACCTGCGGAGAGCAATGCAGCCCAGGCAGGAGGGGCGCCCAGCCATGTGGCTGCTCAGCTCAGCTTGGCCCTGGTGCTCCGGAGTCATTGGGTCCCAGCCTGGTGTCACAGGCGCTGGCTTGCAGCTGGCCCCCACATACTTTGTCTTGCTGTGGCTGAACCTAGGGGTGGGGGCCCGCCCCGACTCCATCCCCTTTGCACTGGCTCCAGGCTCTGGGGAGGCACACTGCGAGGTAGTCTTGCCTAGCAGCTGCAGCACAGCCCCCTGGAGGGCAGGAGAGCGGGGGAAGTGGGGGTTGAGCCTGATGGACTTTAGGCAATTTGAGATTCCTGGGGCTCACTGAGTTCAACTGGAACGGGGAGGTACCTGGCCCTTTCGGAAACAAGGCTCAAGGGCCTGTAGCCTCAAACGTAGTACGCCTCTTAACTGCCATTGATTTCAATGGAATTAGGTGCCTCAATGGCTCTGGGCCAAGGTGCTTCCGGTCTGACACCAAAATCAGGGAGCACCTTAAATTATCCTCAATCTGCATCAGTGTCACAATCTGGGGCATGTGGCGTAGCCTTGCCTTGGCGTGGGATTTACCCCATCACAACTGAGATCCTTGCCTACAAAATCCTTGAGCTATGCAAAGTATCATCCCTGTCTGGATGGTCCAGGGCCAGGCCAGATGCCGTGGCCCTTGGCCCCCTGCTCCCCAAACCCACCTTGGAGCTGCACAGGGGGTTCATTTTACTTTCCAGCCTGTGTAGCCTAAAAATCATTTTTGCAAAGAACATCATCTTACAATAGCGATAAATAGAACTTTATTTTATACATAGGTCACCAGAAACACAAACACAATCTCGGATTAAAAAAAAAAAATTAGTTTCTGAACATTAATTTAGAATTGGATCCAATGCAGTTTATGTCGCTTTAAAAAAAATGAATACAACACAGACATAAAATACCCCTGGGTGTTCACAGCATAGTTATATTACCTAGACAGTGGGCAGTTTAAAATTCAATACACACATCCTGGAGCTGTACCTTCCTGCCCGCAGAGGAAGCCAGTTAAATTTTTTTGTTTACAATGTGCTGTGCATGCCCCCACCTGAAACCAGAGCCCTGGCTACACACCAAGGCCATCCGACTTCAGGAGCTAATGGCCTCGGAGTGGCTGGTGACCCCTGCGGCGGCCAGGAAGCTGCTGTTCGCAGTGCAGCATGTGCTGCCCGTAACCCTGGGCAGTGGCACAGGAGAGGTTAATATCACAGCTGGCAGACTTTGCCCCCAAAAATGTTTTTTTCCAACAAAAAAGGTATTTTTCAGCAAAATGATTTTTTTTGGTGGAAAATTTTTATTTTGGTCACATTCCCCCCCCCCCCCGCCCAGTTTTGGGGGGGCCCTGGCTAGGTTTAGGGACTCCTGGCACCCCTGTGTCACTTTAGTCAAAATGTTCTGGTCTGTCAATGAAAAAACATAAATGGAACATTTCTGGGTTAAAATATTTTCACAAAAAATTGGAAATTTGACCAGAAAAGTGTTTGTGAAAACTCACTATTCAGGGGTTTCAGGGTCATTTTTTTTCATCAAAAACAAAAACCAAAAAAATAGTGCAGGAAGCTTTTTGGGGAAAAAATATTTTTTAAAAAAATCCCTGAAAAAATGAATTGGCTTTTCCGGCCCAGGCCTGTTGAACCTCCCTTGTGCCTCTGGGCTACTGGTGCAGCATGTCAGCTTGCTGGCCACCACCTGCAGCAGGAGCCGGGGTTAACCCGTGTGGCTGCAATGGGTCTGTCAGTGCCCCGTGGCTCTTTGGGATAAACGTACTCTAAGGCCGTCAGGCTCTGATTCCACCCCGATCAGGCCTGGGTGCCCCAGAGCTGGGCAGGCGTGAAGCCTAATGCAGCCGAGCTCTCTCTCAGACCCCAGTCTGAAGGCACTGCCCCCGCATTGCTCCCCCAGCCATTCGCATGCCCCACCCAGCCCACAGCTCTGGCTGGCATCACTAGCCCATGCTCTCCGCAGGACTCTACTTCCAGGATGCTAAGAACAGAGTGGGGGCTGGGGCGCCCCCTGCTGGCCACGGTTTAGAGCTACAGTGGTGTTTGTGGAGTGTATGGGCATCACTAAGGGCAGGAGGGGATCAGTGTGCACAGGGAGCCCTTGTGCTGGGGCCCAGGTGAAGGCCCCCCCCCCCACACGCTGCCAAGCTCATGGAGCAGCTGGGACATAGTGAGGGCACTCTGCAGAGGAGCACTGCGCAGCCCTATGTTACCAGTGGGGGGGGGGGGCACTACTGACAGAGGATGCTGAAAGTCTGGGCTAGTGTCCCACAGCACTGGGGCACAGACCTCCCCGGCTTTTGCCTCCGTGCCCAGGCCAGCCACACCCTCACTGCAAACCAGTCTGGCGTGCGGAGGTGAAGGGAAGGGGGAAGCAGTCCTCCCTCTGGCAGGGCAGAGCCATTCCAGGCCTGGCTCTTTCCTCCGCACCCTGGGCATCAACCCAGCACCATGGCTGCTGTTCGAGGCCATGGTAGGTGGCTGTGTACAGATGGGGGTAGAAGGGGGTATATACACCTGCCACTGGCAAGGGCCAGGTGCTGGCTACATCCCTGCAGACCGGCCAGCCTGTCGGAGAGCTGGAGGGGGGCTGGCAGTGCAGTTGGAGGCATGGCCTGCCAGGCCAGGGCCAGGGTCAGACCTTCTCCCTTGGACCAGGGTCCCACTTCTAGTTTACCAAGTCTCCCAATTCCTCCTTCCCCCAGGACTCCTTCCTAGCCTGGGCTCTGCCAGTGACGCTAAGCTGGTTCCCAGGCACCCTTCAACCTAAGTACCATCTACGTGCCACCCTTCCTCCTCCGGGGCTGAGTCAGACTCCCAGGGATGGCCCTGAGGGAGGCTTTCAGGATAAGACTGGCCAACGTGGCCCCACAGGCGGGGAACGGGGACCCAGCTGGCCGGGAGAGGTGGGGGCTGGAGAGTCTAGCTGCCACGGGTGATTGGCTGTCAGTGGGGAGTTGCTGGGCTCTAACACACCATGGCATCGTTCCTGGCAGCTGGGTGCCTGGGTACAAATGGCTTCCTCTCTGGCGAGGTTCCTTCAAGGCCTGCCAGGTGCCTTGGGCTGCAGGGCATGTCCCAGGGTCCAAGGGCTGGGCATGGACCAAGTGTCCCATCAGCAAAGTGCAGAGCAGGCCGAGCTGGGTGGGGACTGGGGACACGATGGGCAGGGCCATCGGGAATCTCTTCCAAGGTCTCGATCGCTTGCGGGAGAGGCTTTGGGCGCGGGCGGATGGCCTGTTGCCTCCTTGGCCATGTGGTGGGACCTTCCAAGTGTGCCAGCTCCGGCTCTCAGGCAGCCAGCGCCTGGACGCAATGTGGGAAGGGAAGGAGGGACCTGGCCTGGCCATCTAGGCCACAGGCTTTGGCTGCTGGCTTCGGCGATGGGCCAGTCGTCTTCGGCTGTGACAAAGGTCGGGGCCCTCCGCAAGCCCTTCAGCTTGTGCTTCTTGTGTGGGTGCTGCAGGCGAAGGAGAGTGGGGCGAGGGCGCTGGGCACAGGCCGTGAGAATCCCCGTCTTCTCCAGGCTGGGGGAGAACAGAGACGGGGGTAACCATGGGCACAGAGGCGGAAGGGACGACAGGCCAGAGGGTGGGACATGGGGAAACACAATCTGTGCCCCAAGATCTGGGGAGACCACGGCCCAACAGGAGAAGGTACCCCACAAATGATCCATCTGCCAGCTGACCTTGGGGTGACATCCTGCGCCGGTGCTGGCAGGTCCCGGAGCCCTGCGGTTTCTGCACATGTGGAGAGAGCTCTGTGTCCTGGGCAGAGCACGGGCCATGTGCCAGCTATGCCCTTGGCGTGGGCTGGGAAATCTGAGGATTCAGGGCTGTGAGTGGGGGATTTCTCGCCCTCCAGCCAACCTGTGCCAGCTGTCGACTGGGACTAACAGATGCAATGGGGATCCCCCTGGGGGGCCTGGAAACCCCTTGCCCAGGAGCATTGAGGAAGCAATACAGACAATCCACAGAACATGCTGCCCTCCATCGCCTCCTTCATGGACGGGGCAGGAATGGGGCAGCCCAGGAGCTCTGCCCACCCCACACACAGAGGGCAGCTCAGAGCTGGCTCAGCAGCGCTTGGGCCGGCTGCTGACATGGCACAAGGCAGCTGCCCAAAGGCCCAGGGCCCGGCTCAAGTGCTAGCCCCCAGCACATAGCAGAGCCCAAATCCCAGGAGGGCGGTGGGGGGG